AAGTATGTGTCAGGAGGTAAGGAAAAAGCCTGGACTGCTACAAACTGTTCAAAATGTATTAAAAAACTGTAAAAATCAGGTCGATGCCCCACCTAAACCGACCAAATCAGAACATTGATCAAATTGTAGCTGTTGAGAATTGCAGATGTTGTTTCTACCAAAGGGAGATAGATACTTCCATTCCAATGTAGACAACGAAGAGCAGCCCATTCCATCACCAGGAGCAACCAATGGAAGCTGGAGTGCCGCAGATGAGCCATTCCAATAATTGAACTAATAAAAGGATACTCGGAGGGAAAACCTGTGCAATAAAAAGCCTATCTATTCAGGGAAATTACAGTGAAAATGTCACCATTATTTTGTGATGGTGCTTAATTCTTTGGTTAAGAAGAGATGTGAATATTTGAGTCCGCTCACAAGCCCAGGTCAAAGCCACTTCTTTACTTTTTTTTTTTTATATAGCCACTTTTGTTACGCAGATTGTACCACGGTCTTCCCGTAGCCCTTTGTCCTGCTCCTGTCCCTCAGCACAGTGTCCTCTGCAGCTGTTTTTGCAGTGTATTCACGGCTTTTACAGTGACTGTGCGCTCAGGAGAGGCAAGTGAATGACCCGCAATCATGGAAAGAAAAAATGTGGAATGGAAACGATAATACATGGTTATATTTACCAAGTTATTTGTACTCTATTATCTTCCATGTAACGTTGCCTAATGTATATATTCCTGAACTAAAAATTGCAGAATTGTTGCTATATTTTCCTTACATTTGACAGAGCGGCATGCAGTGAGGCAGGAGCCAAGCCTCACTTGAGTGACATAATTGCCTCTGTTTATCATTATTGTAATGTTCAAAGATATTCCCTTTAAGATATCTTTCATATTATACTATTGTAGGATGTCTAGACACACACAAAACTCAGTGAAACAACAAGGCCGTGAAATTTAAATCAGGGAACACTATTCAGCTTAATGAGATTGAAAAGGAAGCATATCTGAAGAAGAGACAGGGGATGTGCTTGTGGTAGAAGTTTTGAAAAGTGCTTTAAATACCAATACAATAAACCAATTCAGTATAAATCAGGTTCAAGCTCTTTAAGTTTACCTTCTCTGAACATGCATCACATTTATTAAAAATACCTCCTTTATTTTATTTTACTTTATTTGACATGCGTTTGCTCCAGTGTTGGTCAAGTTAACGCCATTTTAAGACGTTTTTGATGCTACTTCCTGCCTCAAAGGCACAAGGAGGACTAATATAGATAGGGAAGGATGGTTTTCTATTAATTCATTTAGATGCAGCTCAGGTTTTTGTCCACGCACAAAACATCAAGTGTATAATAGAAACACATCATTGGACTTCAGTTTATTGACGTACTAGACATGAAAAAAGCAGACCATGGGAAAATCAAGCCTTCACATGTAAGCGTCTTGTTGTTCCAGACATGATATTGATTCCATTATGTAATATGGATTTGTCAGAGAGGCGTTTCTCCACCATTCCTCCGAGCTGATTTTGATTCAAAGCCTGTGAAGGTATAAGCTTACTCTTTTATGCCGCTGTCACTGCTTCTCCTGTCGGGTCTTTGCTCTTGAGGAAGAGGCGACCAGACTGCTGCCGTAGCGTTGAGGCGGATTAGCCGTATTTACGCTCGCAGATGTTTGTCTCAGTGGCTAATCACCAGTAAGCATACTTCCAGTGACTATCCGGAGGCAACACACGCACTAGATCTTAGCATTCAAAGAGTGGAAAACAAAAACAGGGGAGCCTTTGATGGGATTAACGTCAAGAGAAAACACTGGCACGAAAAAACATAGCTTCTTTATCTTCTTTGCCGTTTTGAGAGAGCTTGCATTGTGCACCTGCTAATTTGTTGATTTGAAAGAGTCATCTCTGGCACGTATTCAGAGTATTCTTAGCTTGCGTCGCCCGTGGCTTGCTCCTGCATTCGTTAGCTTTAAGGCTCTTGGTGAGGATTGGAGCTTGGACGCATTAGATTATATTAGCGAAAGTCACAAATGATCTTTTTACGCATGGAAAGAAAAACCCTGTAAAGTAAATAATTACACAACCGCATGCCAAACGCTGTCAACAGAAAAGCGCGAGGTGCGAGCCAGAAACGATTTGGAAGGTGGGTTTGTGAGCAACCCGAGAGTAAGCGAAGAGGCATTGGATGGGGTGAGGGAATGGAGGGGACAGGAGTTTTCCGTGCCCCGACAGAGCATTCAAGGGCCCCAGCTGTGCAGACCACCAGGCTGCTGTTATCCAAGCCCTGTGATGTCTCTGACATGTGGGGATCAAAACCAGATCCAAACAACACTCCAGCTTCACACTGGGGGAAATGTGATAATATATGTGTTCTCACAGCTTGTTGCAAGGGGACCTGATGAGGGATGATATGCATTTGCTGTTTCACTTGTCGCGAACATTTTAATTGGCTTTTGGATTTGTTTGCGAATCCCCTGAAAAAAGGCATTTGCAAATATCAAACCTGTTTTGTCATTGTGTTATTGAGCGTGATTGCTCAAGGGTTGAACTTATTTCAAGTCTTACTGCCCTTATAGAGATAAACCCAATTAATCTATCAAATGAGATTTTACAAACTGAGAGTAATCAAACCTTGGCCATTTTAAAAATGTCCACTGATGTCACTTTATCTACTTTATTAAAATGTATTCTGCCCATTTTGCGCGATTCGTAGATTACATATACAGTATATCCTTTTTGCCCATATTGTGACGCATGTACAACTACTTATCTCTGTGTATTGTGTGTGCTCCTTGTGTCCTTGTCCTCTCCTGCATGTCTGAATTACCCCACTGTTGGTAGAAAATAATTACATTTTTTTTTTTACAGCATGGGCCTTTTTTGAATTTACAAATATCACTCTATCCCCTAAAATAGTCCTGGCTAGTTATTTGGTGCAATTGGGAACATTAGGATGAAGAGATCCTTTAATTTCAGTGTTGCATCACAAGTTATAGAACAGTAGGAATGAGGAGCACACAGCACAAGATAAGTGAACAACAATTATACTAATTAAAATAAAACAAACTCTAACTCAAGCATTAAAGAAACAAGTATATAATCTCTATCTTGAACATAATAAAAAAGTATAAATCATTCCAGACGATCTACTCTTGATTGACTCGTTGGTTGGTGGAACATTTGGCTCCAGATTGCCGTCCATGCATTGGGCCCAAATTAGCTTCTTCCAACTCCATTCTCCAGTTTTGGTTCAGCATTATCCACCCTGGCCTTAAAGTGATTGTCTGGACTATATGGACAAAAAACGACCCAACGCGCCCTCCCCCCTTCTTTCTGATTGGTCTTGAAGCCGCGCCTACTTTTCCATGCACGCGCCAGCTCAATGGGCCAAGACATGCGGAGGAGAGATTATTAATTTAAATATTCAAATATTTAGTTATAATATATCATACAGCTCCTCACAGCAGCAGTAGAATGCTCCATTGATTTGAATGTAATTTCAAAACGTTCTCCCGATCATTATATCTTCATAACGGACCTCTCAAACTAATAATGACTGCTGCCCTTTGGCAACGCACTCTGTGCTTGTAATTCAGGTGTGTAAAATACTAAAATTACTCTGGACAGTAGTTTGTACACTTTGTCACAACGAGCTTTCAGCGCCTGTCACTACTTCTGTCTGTGAGAGAAGCTATCAACGCTAGCCATGCTCAATGACACATATCAATCACTCAACACATTTAAATGTTACTCGGAGAATACATTATACATTTACATTCTTAAAGCTGCACTAACTGACTTAATTTTTGTATTCATTACGAAAATGCTATCCATGTCCATGCTGTGCATTAGGATATACTCCCTTTTGAAGAAAAAGTAGCGCAGGTTTGTGCTGGTGTGACATTATATTTTAGATCGAGTTTTGATGAAACAAGGAAGAGAATGTGTTTCGGGTCGCAGATTGTGACCAATCACAGCGGACCACTGGCCCCGCTTTCGTGAGAAATCTGCAAGTCCGTTAGCGTAGACAGCTGAGTTAGCACAACAAGCAGCGGAACTAACCTGAAGCTTCGTGTGTCTTCGTCACCGGTTACTGCTTACACAGCGAGACAGCCATCCAAAACAAAGTCCAGTTCCTCCGCGCTTCCCGGTTCTATCGATCCATGGTAACGCCATCCACGTGAAAATCCAAATATCCATAATATCTATATTGGAAGACGCTAGCTCTGTCAACAACAGTGGGTGTGTGTGGGGGGCCATAGCTTCGTGGGTGCGGGGAGGGGAGGAGAAAGAGCGAGGCCAGCGAGTCCGCGGCTTCAAAATCCCAAAGTCAGTTAGTGCAGCTTTAACACATGTGCACAGAGGTTTTCAGAATGATCTGTTTTCAAATGTTTTCATGTAGTTCCAGAGTTCTAGTTAGTTGGCTAGAAGCTGTTACCTGTCTAGCCACGTCACGATGAAACCATTGGGAACTAATTATTTCATATATATTTAATTTAAGATATGATTCCCATTACAGCTTTAGCTGTCTAATACTGCTTGGGATGACAGCCCTTGGGATCACTTGTTTTGTTAAAGTGGGCGGCATTGTGGATTTTGAGCTATAGCTAAGGTAAGGGAAGGCGGGACTTACCCGTAATATTACGATTCATAAAATTACTTATTTTATATCAACATTTAAGGCCAGGAGGTCAATTCAATACAATTCTTAAAATGTGTTTAGCTATCACTTTGATAGAAAAATCTGCAGGAACTATGTTTACCAACAGTCGTCCAACAGACCTGGACTTGAAATCTCAATGTGACTTCTCTCATTAAACAAAGCTCACATATTTGATTTTTTTTTTTAAACTATAAGTGTCAGAGTGGCCTTGTCTTGCTTCCATCCACACCGCTGACCACAATAGCAGTAAACAGCCACGTACAATACGTCTGGCAGGCCCATTGACCTGCCGGTGGGTCGGCACGCACCATTGACCCAACACTGGTCTATTACACCCTGGTAATGAGAGCGGATGGAGAAGGTCAATCACTGCAGGCCGGCTGCGGTAAATGGCTTGTTGTTGTGCATTGTTTTTGAACCTAACCTAATTAAAAGGAAATGCATCAACGTGTGACGAGAAAGCCAGTAATCAAGGCAGTTTGGCCAAGGCTTGCCGCTGGATTATCAGGGGGACTTAATAGTGAAGAAGCACAAACAGAAATGGAGGTCTAAATATACAGGCATACTCAAAAAAAGAACAAAAAATTGTAAAAAAAGAAAAGAAAAATAATGTATATTTTTGGTCAGTTCCTTTAAAAGTTTCAAAATATTCTTTATTTTTGTATTATTTAGGGTTACTCATGGCACTAACTGGATTTACAAATATGACATGAACTATCTGAAAAAATGTGGCCGTGACCTAGTGGGTTCTGGTTGAGGATATGCAAGAGAAATAGTTTAAATAATACTTTAATGGTAGTGAAAGTTTCATGGCCATCACCTGGAAATGTTTTTAGCTTAAAAAAAAAAAAAATCAAGATGCTTGGGCAACTCATCAGAAAGTAAAAACTACTGGAGTGGGCAGCTGTAGAGTGGTTACTGGCCTAAGTAGAGAGGAGAGGGGGGTTGAGCCTGGACCGTTACCCATAGTGGCATGTCTAACATTTATTTCAAGGCAACATCTCCAAGGTACAGCCACTTGGTTATGGCGTTCCATGTAGGCCTTCACTGGCAGCATCTTGCACCCTGCAGTTATGTAAAGGATCGTCTCAGGACCTCCTTTGCACACCCGACACCTTGGGTCTTGTCTGGTGTGGTATATCATTTCTAGCCATTGGTGTATGATTATGTGTAAAAAAAAACACACACACCTTTGGCCCTCCGTAGGCGGTTATCCCTCTCTAAGCTCGGGTCCTCTACCAGAGGCCTGGGAGCTTGAGGGTTCTGCGCAGTATCTTTGCTGTTCCTAGCACTGCACATTTCTGGACCGAGATGTCCGAGGTTGTTCCGGGGATCCGCTGTAACCACTCTTCTAGCTTCGGGGTCACTGCCCGAGTGCACCGATCACCACTGTCACCTTTACAACAACATCAACAAACACAACAACTTATTCTTGTATAGCCCTAAATCACGACAGAAGTCATCTCAGAGGACTTAACAAAACCATCAAAATCCCCAACACAGATCAGAGAATCAACAGTTAAGACACAAAATATACCCATATGAATTGGTCCATAGGGAGAGACCAATGTCCATGAATGTTGATAAATGTCGATACATTGTAGAATGTTAAAGTTTCCTGGATCATCACCACAGTCCTCAAGCAATATTTGTCAAACTTTTTGTGTTCTTTTTTACTGTTGTTACCAACGCTTGGTATTGCCATGTCCACCACCACGGCTTTCTTCTGCCCTTTGTCTACCACCACAATGTCAGGTTGGTTCGTCGTTACCATTCAGTCGGTCTGTATCTGGAAGTCCCACAGAATTTCATTCAGGGGATTCCCACTTTATATATATATTGATGAGCCAATCAGATCTTTGTTGAAAGGTGGACACTAGCAGTTAAAACCCTATATGCCCGCGTGCATCGGTGCCGATGCACGCGCACATGTTTTACAAATGATCAATTTACTCGCGAACGGTAAAACGTAGCAACTTACTTTTTTTTCCTCTGTGAAGTACATATTCAGGGCTTTCCGAAACTAGTTTTGATTTGTCTGTGCGATGCACGGAGGATAAACTACGTTTGTCTGAAAGTCCGTGTCCAAAGCATGACCCGTGAGGTACAAACAGCTGTGAGATACAAACACACGGGGACTGCCAAAGATCGTCAGAGAGTGAGATGTCTCACTCCTCTGCGTTTACTTGTTATCCCACAGTTGAAACTACAGCTGCGATTGCAAAAACCGGCTGAAGAGTGCGCATTATTGATAAAGACGATAATAAATACAGTAAAATGACATTATGTGTATATGATGTATATAAATATATGTATTAAATAAATAATTGATGTTTTTTTTTTTTTTTTGGCTCAGTTTTTTATGTTTTACGTTTTTTACAGCTGTGCTACAGAAGCAACCCCAGCATTATAGACAAACTGCTTCAAGAAGGGCATCAGGAGTACAGAGTTTTTTGCTTTTATAGTGGAATTTTGTAAAAAGTATAATAGTTAGAGATTCAATTTTTTCCCCCATTATCCCCAAGACCATAAATAACATTTCTATGCAGTGTAAAAAGTTGTTTATAGCATTTCATTGTGTTTTTTCAATACATTTTTGTTAAATTGATTTTCCGTTTGATTTTTTTCTTTGTCTTTATGATTCCATCATTTTTATATAATTCATATGACAGCTTTACAATATGAATATTCTAAAACCCCAGGTTGTACTGAAAAAAAACAAAGTATACTGCTTGACTCTGCATCAAAAGATGACTGTTTTATGAACAATTATACACAAAGAAAACCAGGCGAGGAAAGTTCCCCAAAATGACTCATGGGCACAGATAATATCATTATGGATATATTGCTCTTCACAGAGTCACAAAGTGCTTTGAAATGAAAAAGTGTAAATGTTATAACAATACAAAAAAACAACAACAACAGATCAGAGTATGACACAGTTCCAGCACAGGAAATGCATACCAAACAGATAGGAGCCATTGATCCATTGGAAGTGGAATGACTACTGTCCAAAAATGTTCCAAGTGCGATGGCGTAGATAACAAACTTGTTAATTGTATTCTGATCGCTTTTCCAGCTGCCAAAACTGCAGAGAAAGCAGGACTGAGAGCTATGGGAAGACTGCGTATTCCTCTGAACTTATCACTGAGGCGCAAACAAGTGAAAATTAAAGCCGCAAGCGGCGTCAAACGGCCCTCGCCGCACCGCGCGACTCCCCGCACCGCGCGCACCACCCCGTTCCACGCCGCCCCGCACCAAGCCACCCCGCACCACGCCGTCCCGCATCACGCCGCCCCGCACCAAGCCGCCCCGCACCAAGCCGCCCCGCACCAAGCCGCCCCGCACCAAGCCGCCCCGCACCAAGCCGCCCCGCACCAAGCCGCCCCGCACCAAGCCGCAACGCACCGCTCCACAACGCCCCGCACTACGCCGCACCACACCGTACCACGTAGCACCGCGCATAGGATGTGGCGCCGCCGTGTGATGATTGGTTCCCGTAGCCATAGAAGAACTTAGTCAAATTGTAATGAATATGATTATTAGAGCTGGTTTGGCTCCCCATGTAAACTTTGAATCAGTCTGTAGGGGGCGCTAATGGGCCAATTTCAAATATTTCACTTTCACCTGACCTAAACCCTGGAGTTGAACAATGGATTCAAGTTTAATGCAAATCAGTCTTTGTTTGTGCAAACGGGGAAAAAATTTATGTTGTCAAAAACAGCCAAAAAAACCCTCACATTTTGCCGTTCCGCTTCTCAAACAACGTTTGACTGATTAAAATTCCCTGAAGTAATTATGAAGGTAAATGTGTTGAGATGATTTGGAACAATTTTGAGGCCAATCGGTGAAACGGCCGAGGAGGAGTCGCTTTCCAACCAACGTTTATGAAAATGATTGGTTTTCATGTTTCCATTTTGCAATGAAATTCATGGGCTTCCTGTTTGTCAGGGGGCTTAGCCATAATAACATTTTTCCCATGTCTTGACTTAAGGAACATGTGTTCCAAATTACATGGTTCTACGACAATTTTGACCTCAAACCCCTCCCATAGGCATTTTTAATATGGCTGTTGTAGGTGGCGCTATAGAGCCAATTTCAGAATTTTAACTTTCAAATGACCTAGACCCAAGAGTTGAACCATGGATTCAAGTTTTGTGCAAATCAGACTTTGTTTGTGCAAACGGAAGCAATTTTTCTATGGTCAAAAACTGAAAAAAAATACGCCACTTTTTGGCGCTCCGCTGCTCAAACAACGTTTCACTGATCAAAATTCCCTGAAGTCATTTTGATGGTACATGTGTTGAGATGATGTGGAGCGATTTTGAGGCGAATCGGTGAAACGGCCGAGGCTGGTTTGATGTTTGTGTGAGGTGTATATTTGCAATGAATGGGGAGCGTTTGTCGTCGCCACGGCAACAGGGTAAAAAATAAGCCTTGGACCCAATTGACTTTTTGAATCAAGAGGGCAAAACAGATGTATGTGCAAAATTTCAAACATTTTGAAAAAACTAAATTTGAAAATGCCCATTTAAAACTTTGAAATAGTCTGTAGGGGGCGCTAATGTGTCAATTTGAATCATTTAACTTTCAAATGACCTAGACCCTAGAGTTGAACAATGTATTAAAGTTTTGTGAAAATCAGACTTTGTTTGTGCAAACGGGAGCAAATTTAATGTTGTCAAAAACGGCCAAAAAAAGGTCACATTTTGCCGCTCCGCTGCTCGAACAATGTTTTCACTGATCAAAAATCCCCGAGGTCATTTTGAAGGTACATGTGTTGAGATGATGTGGAGCGATTTTGAGGCGAATCGGTGAAACGGCCGAGGAGGAGTCGCTTTCCAACCGACATGTATGAAAACTTTTGCTGTTCATTTTTCCATTTTGCAGTGACATTTATGGGCTTCTGTTTGTCAGAGGGCGGAGCCATAATAATATTTTTTTCTTGTCTTGACTTGAGGAACATGTGTACCGAATTTCATGACTCTACAACAAACTTCATCTTCAGAACTCCCATAGGGGTATTATTTTGGCTGTTGTAGGTGGCGCTGTTCTGGCATTTTTTGAGTCCCATTAAAAATAAACACCAAAATATCAAATTTTTCGCCAGGTCTGATTTTTGGGCAAAATTTAACAACTTTTCATGCATATTCAGGGGGTCAAATTAAGGCTCAAAGTGCAGAAGAAAAAAGAAAGAAAGAAAGAAAGAAAGAAAGAAATAAATTAAAGCCGCAAGCGGCGTCAAACGGCCCTCGCCACACCGCGCAACACCCCGCACCACGTGCCTTGCCGCTCCGCTACGACTCCCCGCTCCGCTACGACTCCCCGCTCCGCTACGACTCCCCGCACCGCTACGACTCCCCGCACCGCTACGACTCCCCGCACCGCTACGACTCCCCGCACCGCTACGACTCCCCGCACCGCTACGACTCCCTGCACCGCTACGACTCCCCGCTCCGCTACGACTCCCCGCTCCGCTACGACTCCCCGCACTGCGCACCGCTACGACTCCCCGCACCGCTACGACTCCCCGCACCGCTACGACTCCCTGCACCGCTACGACTCCCCGCTCCGCTACGACTCCCCGCACTGCGCACCGCTACGACTCCCCGCACCGCTACGACTCCCCGCACCGCTACGACTCCCCGCACCGCTACGACTCCCTGCACCGCTACGACTCCCCGCTCCGCTACGACTCCCCGCTCCGCTACGACTCCCCGCTCCGCTACGACTCCCTGCACCGCGCGCTTCTACGACTCTCCGTTCCGCTACGACTCCCCGCACCGCTACGACTCTCCGCAGCGCTACGACTCCCCGCAGCACTACGACTCCCCGCACCGCTACGACTCCCCGCACCGCTACGATTCCCCGTACCGCGCAACTCGCCGCAACTCGCTGCAACCCGCAATTCCCCTCTCCGTGACTCCCCGCGTGACTCGACGCTCCGCAGGTGGCGCTGCCACGCCGCGCCATGATTTGCTACCATAGCCATAGACCAATGTATGTGATATTGATCCGTTGGTTTGGCTCCCCATGTAAAGCTTTAGCTCGGTATGTAGGGGGCGCTAAAGAGCCAATGTAATATTTTACACCTTCAGGTGACCCAGGCCCAGGAGTAGAACAACCGGGTCAAGTTTAGTACAAATCAAACTTTGTTTGTGCAAACGAGAGCTATTTTTCTATTGTCAAAAAAGGTCACTATTTGCCGCTCCACTGCTCGAACATCGTTTCCCTGATAAAAATTCCCTGAAGTCATTTTGAAGGTAAATGTGTTGAAATGATGTGGAGCAATTTTCAGGCGAATCTGTGAAACGGCCGAGGAGGAGTCGCTTCCCAAACGACATGTGTGAAAATTATTGCTGTTCATTTATCCATTTTACAGTGAAATTTATGGGCTCCCTGTCTGTCAGAGGGCGAGGCCATAATAACATTTTTTTCATGTCTTACCTTGAGGAATATGTGTACCAAATTTCATGGCTCTACCGCAAACTTGAACTCCAAAACTCTCATAGGAGTATTAAATTGGCTGTTGTAGGGGGCGCTGTTCTGGCATTTTAATTATTTCACTTTCAAATGACCTACACCCTAGAGTTTAACCATGAAAACAAGTTTTGTGCAAATCGGACTTTGTTTGAGTAAACGGAAGTCATTTTTCTATAGTCAAAAACTAAAAAAAAAAAACGCCACTTTTTGGCGCTTCGCTGCTCAAACAACGTTTCACTGATCAAAAATCGCTGAAATCAAAATGATGGTACATGTGTTTAGACGATGTGGAGCGATTTTAAGGCAAATCAGTGAAAAGGCCGAGGAGGAGTCGCTTTCCAACCAACATGTGTGAAAATGACATTCTGTAGGGGGCGCTAATGCCTCAATTTGATGTTTTACACTTTCAGTTTACCCAAACCCAAAATTTGAACAACCAATTCAAATTTGGTGCAAATCGGACTTTGTATGTGCAAATGGTGGCTTTATTAGACTACAATTGCGCCCCCTACAACTTCAAATTTGAAGTCTCTTACTAGGGAACACAAAATTAATAAAGTGTTTGCAAGAACAGAACTTGTGGCAAAATTTTGTAAGTTTTCGTGCATGTTCAGTGGGTCAAATATGACATCAAACAACAGCAAACTTGTTCTTTCCCAGGTTTTCCTGGGCTAGAACAAGTATAATTAAAGCCGCAAGCGGCGTCGAACGGCCCTCGCCACACCGCGCGACGCACCGCGCGCCTTCCCGCTCCGCTACGACTCCCCGCTCCGCTACGACTCCCCGCTCCGCTACGACTCGCCGCTCCGCTGCGACACCCCGCTCAGCTACAATTTCCTGCACCACGCTCCGCTGCGACTCCCAGCACTGCGCACCGCTACGACTCCCCGCACCGCGCGCCGCTACGACTGCCCGCTCTGCTACAACTCCCTGCCCCGTGCGCTTCTACGACTCTCCGCTCCGCTACGACTCCCAGCACAGCTACGACTCCCGGCACAGCTACGATTCCCCATACCGCGCAACTTGCGATTCCCCTTCCCGTGACTCCCTGCGTGACTCGCCGCTCCGCAGGTGGCGCCGCCGCCGCGCCATGATTTGCTTCCGTAGCCATAGGCCAATATTTGTGATATTGATCCGTTGGTTTGGCTCCCCATGTAAAGCTTTAGCTCGGTATTTAGGGGGCGCTAAAGAGCATATGTAATATTTTACACCTTTAGGTGACCCAGGCCCAGGAGTAGAACAACCGGGTCAAGTTTAGTACAAATCAAACTTTGTTTGTGCAAACGAGAGCTATTTTTCTATCGTCAAAAGAGGTCACTATTTGCCGCTCCGATGCTCTAACATTGTTTCACTGATAAAAATTCCCTGAAGTCATTTTGAAGGTACACGTGTTGAGATGATGTGGAGCGATTTTCAGGCAAATCTGTGAAACGGCCGAGGAGGAGTCGCTTTCCAAACGACATGTGTGAAAATGATTGGTTTTCATTTTTCCATTTTGCAATGAAATTTATGGGCTTCCTGTTTGTCAGAGGGCTTAGCCATAATAACATTTTTTCCATGTCTTGACTTGAGGAACATGTGTTCCAAATTAGATGGTTCTACGACAATTTTGACCTCGAACCCCTCCCATAGGCATTTTTAAATTGGCTGTTGTAGGTGGCGCTATAGAGCCAATTTCATAATTTTTACTTTCAAATGACCTAGACCCAAGAGTTGAACCATGGATTCAATTTTTGTGCAAATCAGACTTTGTTTGTGCAAACGGAAGCAAATTTTCTATTGTCAAAAACTGAAAAAAATTACGCCACTTTTTGGCGCTCCGCTGCTCAAACAACGTTTCACTGATCAAAATTCCCTGAAGTCATTTTGATGGTACATGTGTTGAGATGATGTGGAGCGATTTTGAGGCGAATCGGTGAAACGGCCGAGGCTGGTTTGATGTTTGTGTGAGGTGTACATTTGCAATGAATGGGGAGAGTTTGTCGTCGCCACGGCAACAGGGTAAAAAATAAGCCTTGGACCCTATTGACTTTTTGAATCAAGAGGGCAAAACAGATTTTTGTGCAAAATTTCAAACATTTTGAAAAAACTAAATTTGAAAATGCCCATCTAAAACTTTGAAATAGTCTGTAGGGCGCGCTAATGAGTCAATTGGAATCATTTAACTTTCAAATGACCTAGACCCTAGAGTTGAATAATGTATTAAAGTTTTGTGCTAATCGGACTTTGTATGTGCAAACGGGAGCAAATTGAATGTTGTCAAAAACGGCCAAAAAAAGGTCACATTTTGCCGCTCCGCTGCTCGAACAATGTTTCACTGATCAAAAATCCCTGAGGTCATTTTGAAGGTACATGTGTTGAGATGATGTGGAGCGATTTTGAGGCAAATCGGTGAAACGGCCGAGGAGGAGTCGCTTTCCAACCGACATGTATGAAAACTTTTGCTGTTCATTTTTCCATTTTGCAGTGAAATTTATGGGCTTCCTGTTTGTCAGAGGGCGGGGCCATAATAATATTTTTTTCTTGTCTTGACTTGAGGAACATGTGTACCAAAATCTCATGTTTCTACGACAAACTTGACCTCTGAAAAGTCCCATAGGGGTATTATTTTGGCTGTTGTAGGTGGCGCTGTTCTGTCATTTTTTGAGTCCCATAAAAATAAACACCAAAATATCAAATTTTTCGCCAGGTCTGATTTTTGGGCCAAAATTAACAACTTTTCATGCATGTTCAGGGGGTCAAATTAAGGCTCAAAGTGCAGAAGAAAAAAGAAAGAAAGAAATAAATTAAAGCCGCAAGCGGCGTCGAACGGCCCTCGCCGCACCGCGCGACTCCCCGCACCGCGCGCACCACCCCGTTCCACGCCGCCCCGCACCAAGCCACCCCGCACCACGCCGTCCCGCATCACGCCGCCCCGCACCAAGCCGCCCCGCCCCAAGCCGCCCCGCACCAAGCCGCAACGCGCCGCTCCACAACGCCCCGCACTACGCCGCACCACACCGTACCACGCAGCACCGCTAAAAGGAGGTGGCACCGCCGTGTGATGATTTGTTTCCGTAGCCATAGAAGAATGTTAGTCAAATTGTAATGAATATGATAAGTAGAGCTGGTTTGGCTCCCCATGTAAACTTTGACACAGTCTGTAGGGGACGCTAATGGGCCAATTTCCAATATTTCACTTTAACCTGACCTAAACCCTGGAATTGAACAATGGATTAAAGTTTTGCGCAAATCAGACTTTGTTTGTGCAAACAGGAGCAAAATTAATGTTGTGAAAAAGAGCCAAAAAAAACCTCACATTTTGCCGCTCCGCTGCTCAAACAACGTTTCACGGATCAAAATTCCCTGAAGTCATTTTGAAGGTACATGTGTTGAGATGATGTGGAGCGATTTTGAGGCGAATCGGTGAAACGGCCGAGGCTGGTTTGATGTTTGTGTGAGGTGTACATTTGCAATGAATGGGGAGCGTTTGTCGTCGCCACGGCAACAGGGTAAAAAATAAGCCTTGGACCCGATTGACTTTTTGAATCAAGAGGGCAAAACAGATTTATGTGCAAAATTTCAAACGTTTTGAAAAAAATAAATTTGAAAATGCCCATCTAAAACTTTGAAATAGTCTGTAGGGGGCGCTAATGTGTCAATTTGAATCAATTCACTTTCAAATGACCTAGACCCTAGAGTTGAACAATGTATTAAAGTGTTGTGAAAATCAGACTTTGTTTGTGCAAACGGGAGCAAATTTGATCTTGTCAAAAACGGCCAAAAAAATGTCACATTTTGCCGCTCCGCTGCTCAAACAATGTTTCACTGATCAAAAATCCCTGAGGTCATTTTGAAGGTACATGTGTTGAGATGATGTGGAGCGATTTTGAGGCGAATCGGTGAAACGGCCGAGGAGGAGTCGCTTTCCAACCGACATGTATGAAAACTTTTGCTGTTCATTTTTCCATTTTGCAGTGACATTTATGGGCTTCCTGTTTGTCAGAGGGCGGAGCCATAATAATATTTTTTTCTTGTCTTGACTTGAGGAACATGTATACCGAATTTCATGACTCTACAACAAACTTGATCTTCAGAACTCCCATAGGGGTATTATTTTGGCTGTTGTAGGTGGCGCTGTTCTGGCATTTTTTGAGTCCCATAAAAATAAACACCAAAATATCAAATTTTTCGCCAGGTCTGATTTTTGGGCAAAATTTAACAACTTTTCATGCATGTTCAGGGGGTCAAATTAAGGCTCAAAGTGCAGAAGAAAAAAGAAAGAAAGAAAGAAAGAAATAAAGAAAGAAATAAATTAAAGCCGCAAGCGGCGTCGAACGGCCCTCGCCGCACCGCGCGACTCCCCACACCGCGCACACCCCCCGCACCAAGCCACCCCGCCACCCTGCACCACGCCGCCCCGCATCACGCCGCCCCGCACCAAGCCGCAACGCGCCGCTCCACAACGCCCCGCACTACGCCCCTAACTACGCCGCACCACACCGTACCACGCAGCACCTCTCAAA